TGCTGAGGTGAATAAGCCAGAGGAGGACGGGTGGGAGATGAGATCGGAGAGACGGGCAGAGGCAGAGCGTGCAGGGCCCCGAACCCAAGAGAAGGGATTTTCTTTCGCCTCGAACACCTTCCCCTTCCATCTGTAACTTTTGGGTGAGGTTGGAATTAATTGTAGTCTGTTCCATATGCTAGCTATTTGCCCCTCTCTTTACTGATTCTCTCTTCCTCATTGATTTGAGTGTCATTTTATTGTATATTAATTACATATGTGTGTTTACACAGATGTACATATGTTTATCAGCGCTCTTCCATTGATTTATCTCCTCGCACATGTACCATTGTGGTGTAATTATTGTGCCTTTATACCCAGCATTGGCAAATTACGGCCCACGGGCCAAATTTGGCCTACTACTTAGATTTTATAAATAAAGTTTTATTGGAACACAGCTGCCCTCATTTGTTTATGTGTTGTTTATGGCTGCTTTGCGCTCTAATGGCACCAGCAGTTGCAACAGAGATGGCATGGCCCACAGAGCTAAAAATGTTTACGATCTGGCCCTCTACAAAGAATTGACCAACTTCTGCTTTATACTGTGTATTGCTATCTGATAGGGCACGTTCTTCCTCATTCTTCCTTTTCAACAATTTCTTGGCAAGGCCAACGTGTTTATTCTTTCAGATGAACTTTAGAATCAATCTGCCTGACTCCCTTCCTTTTCTCCACCTCTTTTGGGGTGGAGATCTGGAAGGCAGGAAGAGTAGGAATTTGATTGCATTTAATTTGTAGTTTAGTGCAAAGGGAAAGTGATTGCTTTATAATACTGAGTGTTTGCATTCCAGTAGTGTAATATCTCTGATATCTCACATTTGTGTGTTTCAGTGAACTTTCATGGTTTTTTCATTTGTATGTTCCATATTTGTTTATTCTTGTATGTATGACTGCTTTTTGTTGCTATTGTAATTGAGATCATTTCCCTGCTGTCTTTGACAAGTGACTATGGTATGAGGGAAGGATTTGATTTTTAAGAGTTGAAATTGTTTCTGACCTTCTGGAAACAAACTCCTATTAGGACTGTTAATTTTTAAAATTTGATTCTTTTGGTTGATAGTCATTGTCTGAAGTTACATAATTGTTTCCTTCCTAATGTTTGGGCCTGTTTTATCGTGGTACTCTATACCTAGGGTAGGTTGGGGACATGGACTTTGACCCCTTCCCCTGCCTCCTCCCCCACTTGTTACTCATTTTTTTCTTTTATCATATATAGGTCACAGCAAATGGTAATTACAAAACAACAAACAAAAACGCAGGAAGCTTTATCCCAGTCATCCTCTGTTGATGGTTGTAAGAATACCAGATCATTTAGGCATGCTGTTTATTAAGCAGACTATGCCTTTTTTGCACAGCCAGGTTTGGCTTTTAATACAGGATAATAGGGTTTGCATGTCGTAGAGGAGAGTGAAACCCAGTCAGTGCTTTACTGTGGAGAGTCATTTGATCATGGAATAAAGGTGACTTAACCTAGCATTTATCCTTTGGAACTGAAATATGAGCAGAAGAAAATTTTTATGAATCAGTTAGTGCTTTCCTAAATACGTTCTCTGGAAAGCATTTGATTTTTACCCTTAATATCTATTCCTTAAGGATGTGAAATCTATTTTAGATTTCAAGGTCTGTTACTTGCCCTGAGCACTAAACAGATGAACCATAAATTCAATATGTGTTAACTTTTGTGGATTTATCTTTTAATGGCATTTTGGTCTTTTTTTCTCTGAATTTGTGTTTCCTCCTTAGCTGCTTCTTTCCTTGGTGAAGCTAAAGAGAAAGTATACGTGTTGCTGCTTTCTTTTTCCTTTTGGTGATGCAGTGATGAGGTGATGAGGACAGTGGATGTGGAAATGGAGAATCCCTGACTGTATTGTATGATTTGCGAAATAAACCTTTTAGCCACATTGCCTGTGAACTGAAAGTTCATATGTAGAACCTAGTCTTAAATGGTCTTTTTTTTCCACTATATCAAGGTTATCTTTGACTGTCATCATGGACACCGGTTGATGGCGTATGAATATAGAAATGCCATCATAGGCTGTAAAGACGTACCAGGCCACATGCCTCAATCACAGAAGTGGCCCCAACTTGGGAGTTGGGGTTTTGGGGCTTGACTTGGACCAATGGAAATTAGGGACCATTTTAGATAGCGGTGTGATATGGAAAATGATGTTAGCGAATGTAGTGATAATTGGTCTCTTTTATTGGACACTTAATATGGTCTAGGCATTATAATGGATGTCTGCCATATCTAGGAATCATAATCTCATTTTATAGATAAGAGCGGTGAGATTTAGGTTAAATAACTGGTAGACCTGAGATTCACATCAGCTTTTGGTCTTCACAGAGAGGTCGTAAATCGAAGTGGTATTTTGGCTGTGATTTTTAGTACAGGACTCTGTGTGTGTGTGTAGAAGGATTTAGAAATTTTAATTCATTCAGTTTTTTTTTGTTTTTTTTTTAAGGGGGGGAACAGAGGGAGAGGGAGGAGTTTGGTTTTTTGGTGTTTCTTTTTTTGTTTTTGTTTTTGTTTTTTTTTCAGATTTTATTTATTTGTTTCACAGAGAGAGATAGCAAGAGCAGGAACACAAGCAGGGGGAATGGGAGGAGAAGCAGGCTTCCCACGGAGCAAGGAGCCTGATAGAGGGCTCGATCCCAGGACCCTGGGATCATGACCTGAGCCAAAGGCAGACACTTAATAACTGAGCCACCCAGGTGCCCCAAGAGAGAGAATCTTAAGCAGGCTTCACACCCAGCCTGATGCCAGGCTTGATCTCTTAACCCTGAGACCATGACCTGAGCAGAGATCCAGAGTCAAATGTTTAACCAACTGAGCCACCCAGGGGTCCCTCATTTAGATTCTTTTATGTGAATTTCAACAGTTGAATTAACATCAGAGTGGTGAAAAAGTATAGCATGGGGGTGGGGCATCTGGAAACCTGGGTGCTTGAATGATCTTTGGCAAGCCCCTTATTCTGTGACACCCCCCACCCCGGTGTGGCTTCAGTGAAGAGAGAATCTAATCTAGATCCTTAAATTTCTTCAGATTTTAGTTTTTGGGGGGGGGGGGGTGGGCAGGAGTTTATTTCAGGATTTAATGCAGAGATGATGATGGAGTGTATCATTTGTCTTCTGATTTTGAAACAGAGAGTACGAAGAAGGGGAGGTTATGGTGTGGTGATAATGTGGGTCAGTCACATTAAAGAGTGGGGCTCTTTGTGTTCAGGCCCCCCAAAGCCTCTTGTGGATCAGAGAGCACGGTTGCTCCTAGCTTTAGAGACCCCATCAATGTTTACTAAATATACGCATAAGTAAATAAACGCACACACATATGTTCACATACTCCAAATGCTTTCCTAAACGTTTTCTGTGCAACTGCACTGATTAAGATGGAAAATCATGATTCTGGGCCACATTATGTCATCATTTACCTTAAGTATGGCTGAAGCATTCAGATGCTAAACAAGTAACACTTGCCTTTAGTCAAGCCCGTTTAGGGTCTGAGGCCCTGCTCTGGTTGTCTCTCAGCCAAAAAATCTGGTTAGTTGGGCAGTTCTTGATGGCTGTGAGCAGAGCCTCTGGCCATCACTGCCACCAGGTGGGTCCAGCAGCACACCTGTGTGTGTGTGTGTGTGTACGTACGTGCCTGCTGCTCCTGACAGTGACTTGTGAATGCCAGGGGCTCTGCTCTACTGGCCTGCCCAGACCTGGATTCCTGGCACAATTTTGAAAAGAAAGTAAAGCTTTCTAAATACTGGCAGGGAAGTCCGCTTGCTTTCCAGCCTCCGAGCAGCAGCCCAGAGTCCAGCCCAGCACAGACAACTTGTAGTGTCTGCTCTTTGGTCTTTTCTTTGCATCTAATACATGTCCCAAAGAAATTGTTCCAGTGAAAGGCGATTTTTTCCCCCCTTTTTTATCAGAATGGCCTAACTTGGGGGAGTTACAGTATCTTTTCAAGGTTACTTTCAGACTAACTTTTCTGATGGTAAAGGAACTAGTATAAATCTTGATATTTTATGAAAATACTCTTTGATGTTTATTCAAATATAAAATGGTTTGTAGACTTTTAACTTATATTTATGTAGCCTCATATGTGTGCAAGCGACAAGAAACATTTGAACTTAGAGATTCAAAAGCCTAACAGTTGAACGTTTTATGTTGTGTGGGATTCTAAGATGGGGATATGATTGAGCATGTGATCCTGAAATTATTAGAGACGATGGGGGATAACGTTCTTGGATTTGGACAGGTTTATGAGCATGATTTCTGCTTCTGCGTTCCTGGGTTTGTGGCATTTTTTAATCTTGCAGTGCAAGTAACTGTAGGCTCCATCCCTGGGCTCTGGGCTCCTGGCCTCAGCTTGCAGTGGAGTCCTTTGATTTGTCTGTGTTCGTTTGATGGTAGGGGAGGGACTTAGGTTCCATTTTTGCTCTCTCTTGTATAAGAGCCAACAAAATAAATATATTGCAAGAAATGCCAAATGGTTGAGATGCTTTTCTGTACTTTCCTGTCCAGGAGCTTGCTTTGATACTGTATTAGTAATTCCGGGGAAGAGAAAGGGAAAAGGAAAGAGAAAGAGAAAGTGAACATGTTTCTTCTGAGATCTTCTATTTGTGTGACTTTAATTCGCTAACATTATTGACATTTTTCTCTTACATTCAGGTTCATTGCTGGTAGGATTTTACAACTACTGAGGGATTTTTGTTTTTCCTTACTGTTCACATGAAAATTTCATGAACTTAAACATTCGGTTGGGAATTTGACTTTATTGCCAGACTCTATTTCTAAGAGATAGGTCAGTAGTTGCATGTTGTATTTTATTTAATAAGTATCAAATTAATGGAGAATACCATTCAGTGGTATCCAAACATTTGTTTTTCTTCACTTCTGAGTTTTCTTCTTTTACACTGTTTTGGCAGCCTGGGAAATAAATGACACTGAATTTTCTTCTTTTTCTTTTAAAGACTTCCAGCTGAACCCTCATCTCTCAACACTGGCAAATATTCATAAGATCTACCACACCCTTAATAAGCTAGTAAGTCAACCTCTTAAAGACAAAACTACCAGCTGTTTAAAGTAGTTGTTTTACGTGTATTTGGTAAAAATTTAGAGAAGATTATGAAGATACTGGCTGTTTATGAAAATGTTTATGAATTTTCATACTTGCTGTGTGGTGTGTGATTTCTCGGTAATAGTGAACATATTTCTTGCAGAATCTAACAGAAGACGTTGGCCAAGACGATCACCCAACAGGTATCTGTAAATGCTTACACTACTTAATTTTAAATAAGCCTTGTAATATAAAGTTATGAAGGAGAAGGACGAGCCGAGAATGCTGTGTGTTGTAATACACCAACAAGCTGTTACTTGGTTGAGATGTTTCTCAGGGTGTCTGAGGGGAAGCCATGTTCTAGCTCCCTCCCAGCAGCGCATCTGTTGTGGGGCTCTGGCTTCTGTCAGAGTAATTCAGTCCCTTTAAAGGGGCTGGGAATCCTCCCTAGTGGCTTCACAGTACTGTTTCTTTACTCAAGTATTTTAGTTTATATTAAAAACTTACTACGGTGATGCGGTTCGAAAAGTATCCCACAAATGGTTATTGAATGGAGATGACCGATCATTTGATAGATGAGTAGAGTGTTGGATGTATGTGTTGTATAGGTCTTGAGGATTTATGAATTGGAAAATGGAAATTAATAATTACAAACAGTTCTCTAGACCTGTAGTTCTTAAACTTTAGCTAGCTTATAGCCCTCTAGGGAGGGCGTGTTAAAACAGATTGCTAATCTCCTCCCCCAGAGTTTCTGATTCTGTAGACTGGGGCTGGGGCCCCAGAGCGTGCATTTCTTTCTTTCTTTCTTTCTTTCTTTCTTTCTTTCTTTCTTTCTTTCTTTCTTTCTTTCTTTTTTTTAAGATTTTATTTATTTATTTGACAGAGATCACAAGCAGCCAGAGAGGCAGGCAGAGAGAGGAGGAAGCAGGCTCCCCGCTGAGCAGAGAGCCCCATGCGGGGCTCGATCTCAGGACCCTGGGATCATAACCCGAGCCGAAGGCAGAGGCTTTAACCCACTGAGCCACCCAGGCGCCCCTAGAGTGTGCATTTCTAACAAGGTCTCAGATGATGCTGGTGCAGCTGGTCAGAAGACCGCCCTTTGAGAACCACTTCCCCAAACTGTTGCTAATCTGAAGGTTCAGAAACTTGGACTTGATCTGTGGTTACTACATCTCCCAGCAAAAATCATTAAAATGTATTTAAAGTTTTTGAAAATGACCATGGAGTACAGGCTTGTTGGTGAATTTTGAACAGCACAAAAGCGAATGGAATAAAAAGTGACAGTCCTCGTCTCCCAGTCCAGCCTTCCCCCATTATGCCGTTTAATATGTGTTCTTTCAGACAATTTTATGTATGCATATACTTTTATAGTACTTTAAAAATTCAGCATCTCTAAGATCATAATGTACATATTACACAGCATCTTGCTTTTCTTTTCATTTAATGGTATATCTTGGAGGTTTGGGGATTTAGAACTCTCCTACCTTCTCCTCCAGGTTGGTTAAAACCAGTTGAAAATTAGGTGTAAGATGGAGATTGAAGTAACAGTTTTGTTGGAGAACACAGCTCTGGTGTGCAGCGAGAAGGCGGAGGCTTTTCTGTGTTTCACCTGAGTGAGATAGCCTGACGCCCAGTCACCGCCACAGCCAGATGAGCCCAGGCCGGCGCACCTGCTGTGCCCCCTCCGGCCCGCCGGTTATGACAGCGGAGGAGTGTGAGCTTCTGGCAGCAGACCAGTGTGAAAGGGAGTTCAGAAGGGGCTGGGCCCCTCTGCTCAGCTCTTTCTCCCTGGACCACTAATTAGATCAGACACTCCTCCTTCCAGGGCAAGGAGTGAGAGAGGTGGTGGGGGGTGGGGGGTGAGGGTGGGGGGCAGAGTCTGTGCTAGGAGTGTTCTAGAAGGCCAGGCCACAGAGGCTCTCTTCACCTGATCTTTCTGTGTCAGTAAATCAACTCAAGGGCAATCAAAAGCAATTTGCTTAATACATTTTGAAAACAACGTGTGCACGTGGTTTTAAAAGAAATGTCGAAAAGGTATAAACTAAAAAAATGAAAGTTTCTTTTCCATTTTATTACCCCAGCTGTCATCCCCTGTTAGCAGTCTGCATTTGACTCTCTAGGGGTAACTCTTAGATTCTTGTTTGTCTCCCCAATGATGATGGTATCCCCCCTAACAGTATATATTTATATGTGCCTCTTGTGTTTGTCACTCAGTGTATCTTGATCTTTTTCTAGTAGCACATTTATAAAGCATCTGCTTTATATTTTCATGTCTCTGCATTTTTAAAGTTCGTGGATCTATCATAATGTTTCTGCAGCCTCCTACTGATACACATTTAAGTCTCTTTGACTCGGCTGCTCTCAATTATGCTGAAATAAAATTTTCAGGGCCAGTTTTAATAGTTCAGAAGTAAAGCACGTTTCTCTCCAATTCTGAACTGATACATTGGTGGGCTCTGAGGAGTTTTTTAAACTTCTGAGTTCACGCAATTTTGATTGAAAACTGAATTTTGTGTTGGTACAGCCTTGAGGTTGTCTCTTCTTTAGCAGAAGTAATAAAACCTCTTAAGTTCTGAATTTTGTACATTATGTAGTTAACTCTGAACTTTAGATTCAAATGAGTATTGTTACTATAGTAATTTTATGTCTAAATATTTAACCTGAATGTGGCAATTTAAAAACTGGAAACTATAATTAAGAAAATGAAAGTGGAAAATGTATCTGGCCTCATGCCTCCTCTCTCACCCTTGGGGACAGAGGATACGTGTGCTGTTTGGTATGTAACATGCTGGTGCAATGCCTGGTACCTCGTACGTGCCCGTCAGTGTCAATTAGCATTAGTAATTTCTTCGAATAGTCCCATTTCATTAGCATTTCCCCATATGGTTATAGCATCACTTGTGATTACCATACCTGACAGAATGTGCTTTAAAAATCAGACATTAAATCTGTTATGTTTGGAAATCTGAGAACATTAATCACCGTAATGCTGCTTTGAATCTTTTTGGCTCAGCCATAGTCTCAGCAGTCTCTATAAGAAACTGTACATGGAGGAGCCAGTCCTAAGTCCAAGAGAGGCTGTTGTCTTCCTGCTCTGTCTCTTCTCACACTTTCCTTTGCTGCTTTCGGTCTTCCTCCCACCAAAAAAAGAAAAAGAGAGACAGACAGAGTTCATCTTGGACAAGTAGCCCCAAATCCAGATTATAGGGAATGAATAAGAAAAACCAAATGGAAGGGACAAAAAACAACGAATGAGGAGAAAGATGACAGATATCCAAAGTCAGTATTTAGAAAGGAACGGCAAAATTTTCTTGTCTTAAATAGGGAAAAAGTTTCCCATTTAGACACAAATAGTTTCACTCAGGCAAGCGAGTAGTTCAATGATCTGTTCAAGGACATGAAAGAAAATATTAGGTACTAGAAAGGTGTTTTGAAATGTAATCTGTTTATCAACCGAAATCACTATGTCTTTGTGACATTGTTCAGTGACAAGTGAGGCGAAACAGCCATATGAAAAGTACTGAAGTGGCAGAATGAGCTTTGAATGTTATTAAGTGAAACAAGGTTATAATAAACTCAATAAAACGAAAAATTAGTGAGATTTTTTTTGTGTTAGAACATGCATTTATGCTGTTAGGAAAAGTCAGACAAATTCTCTGATTTTATGGATCTCTTGAGGCCCCAAAACAAAAACATTCAAAAAGAAAAGGCAGTGGAGCACCTACTTAGATACTGTTTATTAAGAATAACAGGTTTAGGGATGCCTGGGTGGCTCAGTCGGTTAAGTGTCTGCCTTAGGCTCAGGTCATAATCTCAGTGTCCCTGGGATCTAGCCCTGCATCAGTCTCTCTACTCAGTGGGGAGTCTGCTTCTCCCTCTCGTGCACACACTCTCAAATAATTACAATCTTAAAAAAAAAGTGGGGCGCCTGGGTGGCTCAGTGGGTAAAGCCTCTGCCTTCATCTCAGGTCATGATCTCAGGGTATTGGGATCGAGCCCCACATTGGGCTCCCTGCTCAGTGGGGAGCCTGCTTCCCCCTCTCTCTCTGCCTGCCTCTCTGCCTCCTTGTGCTTGTGCACTCTATCAGATAAATAAATAAAATCTTTAAAAAAAAATAAGTTTAGCTAAATTATCCTCAAAACAGCAAGCAGGATAGTCATTAAACAGCCTTTGGTCTGATCCAGGTGAACTCGAGTTGCTGTTTAAAATAGATTTTGTGGGACCAACTATTAAATAAGCTGAAGGATGTTGGCAGTATTTCTGATTGTTTAATGTGAAAAGACTTCACCGACTACCCGATTTATTTGAAAATATAGACAGTGAATAGAAGATTTCATTTGTTCTATTTAGTACCTGAGATCACTTTGGATCCACTTTAGTGATCCGAAGTTCTTTTAATACTAAATCAAAAATAAGTGAACCTGAACTCAAGTCATAACCCTTGGGTAAAAAATACAAGCAATTTTTATTGCCTTCTTAAGGACCACACACACACACACACACACACACACACACAGACACACACCCCAGCATCAGGGTGGATTTCACACTGTCCATCTAGTGTAGAAATACTGAGACTTAACGCCAGGACATCAAGATGATATTAAAGAATGTCAGAGTTTGTGATTGTTAGTTGAGATTCTTCTCCCCCTCTTCCTCTTTCTTTATTATTATTATTATCAAAAGGCTTTTCTTTCCTGTGTATCTGCCGAATATTTCTCATGATATAAGATGGATCTTTAAAATCTTTTTCATTCAGTGCTTTCTCTTGGATGATTGGCAAAGAATGAAAACTTGTACCTGTGATCATTTCAAGTGAATTTTGGGATTTCTTAAAGTTCCTCTATGGAAGTTGCTTTTTCTTTGTTCAGCACTTATTGATCTAGGAACTTTTGGGTACTCAACTCTATAGGTCAGTTTTCTCATCTGTAGAATTGGGACGGTAATAATATCTCTCAGACTTGTGAGGATAACTTTAAAAATGCTTCAGAGTTATTCTTTAAAATGTCCGCCTTTACATTTTGCCTCGATCGATAATGTCACATTGATTGTACTTCCATAGCTACTTCTGGGGGTTAAAATAGTCCATTATTTGAAGTAGACAACATTTCATAACATTTTTATAAGTTGTTTTTTTAGTTTAAAGTTTAATTGAAGTGGATTAAGTGATATAAATTCTGAGTCAGTAAAGCCAAATTTTAA